CAGTCACGTTCTTGCCAAGTTTCAGCTTTCCATGTGTCTCCGTTTCATTGAAGCAAAGAGAACTATTTGAAAATATGTTCCCTGAAAAGGTGTGCCACTATGGAATGTATCACCAAAGTTGAATTTTTCCTGAACTCAGCATGCGAATAGCTATTTATGTCAGTTAGTCAACTACTCACGATCGTCTATATACAAGGTATATCCACGAAGGATGGGAGAACGAGAAGATCCCGGGGAAATCATATTTCAACAGGGTTGAGAACAAATCTGCAACTACTTACATTGTCACGAACCTTCAACCAGCCTCATATATTTTGTAAGTTCAGTAAATTCCACTCCTAAATATTATCCATCTTAGAGAGAAAATGTATAAACCAATGAGGTGTAGATGAGAATGAAATGAATTAAATGAACCTACATTGTTAAATTCGGGTATGAGACGCTGTTCAAGAGGGCTGAACTGAAATTTTTCTTAAATTGTCTTTTTTTTTACCCACTTTGCCTTTTAATAGAGGATTCTCTAAAAATGGTCATTGAAGCGAAATGGAGTACTCCCAGCCTGACATTCGGAAATATTCTCGGGTGGCGCCTGCGTTAAGAAAAGTGGACTAATTACTGCATGACTTCCCTTAACCAGGAAGAATTGGAAATGAAATAGATCATCCTGGATGGGCTTCGTGAGAATGAGTATGCCATTCAAGACCTTGGTGAGACAAAGTCATACAATTCCTCATTTTCAAACTGCAAGACATTAGTAATGAAAAAAAAAAATATTGGCACTTACAGAGAGAGAATACAGGTAATGCATTCCGATTGGCTGGCCGCAATGGCTTTGGCTTTGGTTGAGAGGGAGTCGCTGATATCATAACACCAGGGGGGTCTCCTACTGGCCCCCCTTCCAACTCATCGTGTCAAATGTCATTGTAGAGAAGCGAACACTCAGTATTTCAGAGTGTTCACCTCCCCTCATGTACATGGACTTTGAGTACTGACAGATTGACCAGGATCATACCTACAGCGGGAAAGGAAAAATTCTTTCCCCATTTAAAAGAGATTCACTGTTTATTTGAATTGTTTATTATTCTAAATCTTGTGATGCAGATGGAAAAAGAGAAGTCAGCAAGGCATAGACTAGAGATGCCTCACCAGTCGCCCATCACTTGGGTATATTACGAGTACAGACAATATTAAGGGGGAATTTGAAAGAATGCTCCTCGTTGCCTGGCAATCGTCGAGTCAGATCGATCTCGATTCATCCCAGCTCCGCTTACGGCGAGATCAAGCGTCGGAAATGGGTAACTATTGCTGCTGTTGCCCACGATCAGAAAAGGATTCGGATCGAATCGATGCCTCCCGTGAGTCCATCCTACATTGTCACGGGCGCCTTCACCGGATCCAAATAAAATTGTGACCTGTCTTTCCGTTTGGAGTTGCATTACTTTTCGATCCAAAATATATTCTCATGCCCCCTCCATGAGTCGAATGGAATGAATGATTTGGTCTAGATATGGAAGCAGGGTCGTCAGCTGTCGACGGGGAAAACCCTGCATGGCCCACATCCAAAGGCCACTCCCTCAAGAAGAGGTTCCTGCCGAGCATTTTTAAGCAGAAACGTGCCTCGTCGGAAAGAGTGGGGATGGGGCTCATCTCCGAGCAGCCGCTCCCATTCAAGAAGAGAGAGAAAGTCCATGCTACACCCTCTCCTCCCCGCACCGATTCCGCCGATCTTCCTGGTTCCTCCCATGATGCACGTGGGGCAGAAGGAGATCGGGCGGAGGCAGATGCCTCCCCACCGTTTTCTGCCTCCTTCGACCACGAAGCAGCCGCATGTCCAGAAGAGAGCGTCTTCGCACCGTCCATCTCCTTGTCCGATGACGAGAGTTTGTATTCCTGGAAGAGGCACCTGGCCTTGCCCATGAAACCCAGTGTGTTTTCCACTTCATCCATCCTACTCATCGAATCGGGTTGGATTGCAGAAGGAACCATAACGATTCGGTCTCGATAGGTGGGCGTCTCCCGGTCGTGGGTGTGGGTGAGATGAGGTTCACATCCAGGCCTGGTGTGCTTGCGTTCGGGGTGAGATTGCTTGACCCCCCGCTACCATCGAGTCGTGTCATGTAAGTGATTCATCGACTCAGGATGTTCACTCTTGTGATTCCAAGTTCAATGGTTTCTCTAACTCACGGAATGCCTTGAAGGGAGTTGGAGGAATATATGGTGAATCTCAGTCTCCTTCCCCCTCGTGTGGAGGTCTCCTGCAAATCATCGGCGATGCTCGTGTCCATCTTCTTGCCTCGTGAGTCTCTTTCGTGATTCACGCTTGTCTCCCCCGATTCATCATTGTTCATTGACGAAAACATCCTCTTCCATTGCCGTTGATTGCAACTTAGAATTTCAGTACGTCATATTCTGGAGAATTTTACACCTGAAGGAGTTTTTTGGTTTCTTAACTTGTCTCCAGAACGCGCCTGGCTTCTGCCACCCGAGCTGGTCGTCGCTGCGTTCTTCGAGGACGACTGCATGATGCTGAACATGCAACACCCTGTCCTATCTGGAACGGAGGAGACCAAGAAAATCTGCCGCCGCTTCCATCATCCAGTATTGCCCATCAAAGTCACCGTGCTGGAAAGTCGTGGCCGCACTGCGATTGCGATGTCGGTGGATTACGATGCTGTCGATAATCTCTTCCCGAGTCTCAGCCGCTACCTTGGTTCGGGGACGACAGGAAAAAGAAGAAATGACCAAATGGAGGATGAGGAAGGAGGATGCCTCATTCAAGAGCTCATCTGATGTGGGAGATGGTTTCCTCGCATGAATGATTTTTTATATGTGGAATCCGAATGAATGAGCCTTTTCTATCCAGACACCAGCACGATGTGTGAAATAAATAAATATCCTCATTACATAGTTCTGTATGAATACGTTCCTCATACAAAAATGATCGAATTTGAATTCGACATGTTTCTCTAGAGGTTCCTGTGAGACAGAACTCACAGAAAGTCGTAATCGAGCGAAGTGAAGGACGTTGGTTGAACGCGTCCAAAATTGTTTCATGGAAATACGGTCCTTCTAAATGTCTGTTTTATGTCTCATTTGAATGCTATGTGAATGAAGTCTATTAGCGTCAACTTCGAAGATGTGAACGTTTCACGGGTGACAATTATTTAATTTATAAAATTTCATGGAAATTTTACTCCGTGACTGCCTCCTTATCCCCTGATGATGGAACGCACCCCCACCTTTCCATCCAAAGCTTCATATTTTCCCCCTTTAAAATTTTTTTTCCTTGCGCTGAAAACAGGAAGTTTTCGTAAAGAAGCGAATTCCCTGCTACATGCTCTTTCCCCTTGTCTCTCCTTCCCCGTGGCTCCCCTGCCCCCTTTCTCTCCTTCCCCCTGGCTCTCCTGGCCCCTTGTCTCTCCTTCCCTCTGGCTCTCGCGCATGGCCCTGCCAAGCACTCGCCTTCTCGTTCCCCGACTCTTCGCCTCCACCTGTGATTGAGAGAGGGACGCCCTCTCTTCTTCCTTTTGTCTCTTCGAAATTCCGTCTCCGATGTGAATGCGTTCTCATTTTCCTCTTGTTGCATTCTCGCTGGTAGCATATACATTCAATTATCAGAGGGTGTGTATGAAAAATAGAGTCTGCCTCAGAGGAATATTTCCGCAATACTTTACCCTTTACTGTATGATATATAAACGAATTGGAATTCATTTCTAAGAATTGAAATTTAAAAGTCAGCCGCACGAAAAAACAGGTTGACTTGCATGAACAATCGGAGATTCGCCTCTGCCTCATCATCTCCAGTTTTGACGCGGAGACAAGAATGCTGGACTCGAGCGGGGACTTCGCCCACCCCAGTGCTTCGCGCCTTCTGCAATGAAATGGATTTCAAGCGTTCTTGATTTTATTCGGGGTGATTCGTGAGTTACCGGCTTGGCAAAAAAAAACCAGCACTGCAGTATCCTCATGTAGTTTCTACCGCTGAAAATCCAGAATTGCAGAATGACTTGATCTTTCGTCACTGATTGCATCACCTTCCCCCTCTTGAAAATGCTGACGGATAACATGAGGAAGCCAACGAGTGCAAGAGCGCTCCGGGCTTCTCTCTCGTCCGATAGGATGGATTAGGAGGTGTTCATCCTAATTCAAATCCTTAAAAGAAGAGATTCCGGAGAGGAGCTTGCAGCGAAAATCGTTCATTGCCCCAAAGGGGGCTTTTCCCCCACAAGATGAAGCAGACGACGGAGATCGACATGCGTCTCGACCGACGATGCAAAATCGCTCACATCCCCGATCTCGACTCGGCCATCGACGCTCATCGTCTTCGCACATGGCCTCCAGCCGAGGGGGTGGATACAGAAATTTTTCATAGGGGAAGCGGTTCCAGAGTTCCTACCTCCCCATGCCCCCTTCCGACCACCATGCTTTGTCATTTTGCCTCTTTAATTTTCGTCTGGGGTAAGAACTTGAGTATCTATTCCACTGGCTCTAATTAAATTTAGTGCAGACGCTATTTTGAATAAATAAATCAAATGCTAACTTGGCCGTAGAGAGGGCGGTCACTCCCCCCCCCNCGACAAGCGTTTTTATTCCTGGCAGAGGCACCTGGCTTTGCCCATGAAACCCAGTGTGTTTTCCACTTCATCCATCCTACTCATCGAATCGGGTGGGATCGTCGAAGGAACCATAACGATTCGGTCTCGATAGGTGGGCGTCTCCCGGTCGTGGGTGTGGGTGAGATGAGGTTCACATCCAGGCCTGGTGTGCTTGCGTTCGGGGTGAGATTGCTTGACCCCCCGCTACCATCGAGTCGTGTCATGTAGGTGATTCATCGACTCAGGATGTTCACTCTTGTGATTCCAAGTTCGATGGTTTCTCTAACTCACGGAATGCCTTGAAGGGAGTTGGAGGAATATATGGTGAATCTCAGTCTCCTTCCCCCTCGTGTGGAGGTCTCCTGCAAATCATCGGCGATGCTCGTGTCCATCTTCTTGCCTCGTGAGTCTCTTTCGTGATTCACGCTTGTCTCCCCCGATTCATCATTGTTTATCTTCCATTGCCGTTGATTGCAACTTAGAATTTCAGAACGTCATATTCTGGAGAATTTCACACCTGGTTTCTTACCTTGTCTCCAGAACGCTCCTGGCTTCTGCCGCCCGAGCTGGTCGTCGCTGCGTTCTTCGAGGACGACTGCATGATGCTGAATATCCAACACCGTGTCCTATCTGGAACGGAGGAGACCAAGAAAATTTGTCGCCGCTACCATCATCCAGTGTTGCCCATCAAAGTCACCGTGCTGGAAAGTCGTGGCCGCACTGCGATTGCGATGTCGGTGGATTACGATGCTGTAGATGATCTCTTCCCGAGTCTCAGCCGCTACCTTGGTTCGGGGACGACAGGAAAAAGAAGAAATGAGCAAATGGAGGATGAGGAAGGAGGATGCCTCATTCAAGAGCTCATCTGATGTGGAAGATGGTTTCCTGGCATGAATGATTTTTTATATGTGGAATCCGAATGAATGATCCTTTTCTATCGGGACACCAGCACGGTGTGTGAAATAATTAAATATTCTCATTTCGTGTTTCGGTATGAATACGTTCCTCAGAAAAAAATGAGCCTCATCCCCTTGGATCGTCATGCGCTTTCGAAAAAGGTGAAAAACGGGAAAAGGACAAGGGCCTTCCAGAGTTGGTTCCGTTGAACCAATTCCCACCATTATTCGCCACATGATACAAAATATACGCAATATAAATAAAAATAATGTGCAATCTTTTGAAAGTAGATTTGAGGTCATCATCTGTTCGCCACATGTCTGGCCGATTCGCCACATGTATGTGGCCGAACTGCCACATGTGGCGAGTGACTAACGTATCGGACACATGGCTCTAGAGCGAAGGGAGGGTTGAACGCGTTTCTGGGAAGTACAGGGTGACACGATATGATGTGCCTGGGTCGTAGTGCAGGTTCCAGGAAATATAGGAAGTCGCAACTTTTCTTTTTCGATAGAGTATTAAAATCTGGGTTTGAAAACTTACAATCATCTATTTTGGCTTATTCGTAGAAATGTCACAGCGCTTTTTCCTTCCCACGAGTCTGCCACGCGCGCACACAGCAATGGATTCGTGTTGAAACATGTCTCGAGACGCATTTCATCGATGCTTCACTGATTCTTCGAATGCCGGTCAATCGATAAGTCTTTCTCAGGAAAGTCGGCAAATTGTCATATGCATTTGGATGAAAAGAGTTGAGTTTAATGGGGTTCCTGGGAGAAAATGGCCAAAAATCGGGGAAAAAGTGAAAAAAAAAAGTTTTAGTTAATGGTGCTGTATTGGTTCTGTTCAGAATGAAAAAGCGATTCCGAGAAAAAAAAAGCCTTTTACATATTTACCTTCATCCAGGAAGGTTTCAATTTCACCGCTTTTGTAGTTAAGCCTCCATAATTTTTGTATATTTTCATCGGTAACCAAGTGCGTCCACCTTGTGTTTCGACAATTCAAGCCCACGACACCGACGACGAGGGAACTCACTGCGGTTTCTGGCTTCGGAGCAGACGAGCAGAGGCGCACTCGCCCCGTCGGCGACACCACGGCACCGGATGGCACCCGTGTCCGGATCAAACACCCCAGACCGACCTCGGCCTTGGCGACACGTCCTTCCTCCGTCCACTTCGATGACCCGCAACGTCCTGAGAGAAAGAGTGAAAGAGCGCTGACAACTCTGCAGGTGAACATCCTCTTTCATTCTTCATCCTCCTTTCTGCTCTTTGATGAAAAGTGTCCAGATGATTGCTTCAGCTGACTCGATCGGGGACTTCTCCCACCTCAGTGCTTCGCGCCTTCTGCAATGAACTGGATTTCAAGCGTCCATGATTTTATTCAGGTTGATTCGTGAATATGTCGCCGCCATTTTTCGTTCGTACCGGCTCGGAAAAAAAAAAAAAAAAACAACCCAGCACTGCAGTTTTCTCAAGTAGTTTTAACCGTTGAAAATCCAGAATTGCAGAACGGCGTGATCTTTCGTCAATGATTGCATCACCTTCCCCCTCTTGAAAATGCTGACGGATAAAATGAGGAAGCCAACGAGTGCAAAAACGCTCCGGGCTTCTCTCTTCTCCGATAGGATGGACTAAGAGGTGTTCATCCTAATTCAAATCCTTAAAAGAAGAGACTCCAGAGAGGAGCTTGCAGCGAAAATTGTTAATTGTCCCGAAGGGGGCTTTTCTCCCACAAGATGAATTAGACGACGGAGATCGACATGCGGGATGTACCAGAGGCCGGCCATTGCAATGGCCGTATTATCGGCTACTTTCAACAGTTATTTAAGAGTTCAGGTGACCACCTCATACTTGAACGGAACGTCCCAACATCAAAGGTACAGTATGTACATCCGTGAGGGTGAGAATTTCATTTTCATCAAGTAAGGATGCTGATGCTGATGCGTTACTTCTTCTACTTAGTTGATTGTGAAGGAGTTGGAAGCGAACGCTTCGTACTACAGGTATTTATATATTAGCGCCTACACCATAGCTGGTACTGGCCTCTACTCGGTGGTGAACTTTACAACGATTCCTTCGATACTTCAAAACCCCCGTAACGTTCGGACCATGGCAGTTACAAATGGTTCTTTTGGGGACAGTGGGGATTGTTTTCTGGCACCCGCCACGTACTCCGGCAGGGTCCTGTCCTGTCTCCTTGTTCCTCGTGTTCATGGACGGGATCTGCAGGTGCGTCCTCGGCCGGGAAGTGGGTCAACATCGATGACGTCACGGTAACGAAAGGGTCTTTTGGGGATGTGGAAAAAAGAGTGATAACACTTTAAAAAAAAATAACATTCCCGAATTAATATTTGAAGAAATGGCAAACCTTATCGATGGCATGTGGAAATACTTGAGCGTTCTCGATAGGAGCTCCAGAGCGTGCTCGATCGGGTCGACTTCAAATGGACTTCAGCTGGAATGAAACCGAGTGCAACAAGACGGAGGCCACGATCCTCGAAAAATCTAGTAGAGTGCACCCTGCACTCAGTGCTCTCAGTGAGGTCCCACAGGAACGGATGAAGGTGTTCAAGTACATTCAGATCTGGTTCTCGAGTGACGGGCGATATGCAATAGAAACGAGATCAAAAACCGCATCTTCAAGGTTTCTGAAGTTTTGAGGGAACTTTGGCGAACCGAGGTTGACAGATCGAAAGTTTGTAGAGAAGCGAACTCTCATTATTGGATAGTGTTTACCTCCCCTCATGGATGTGAACTTACTGACTGTACTGAGTACTGACGGATCGAACCGGATAATACCTACAACGTGCAATGAAAAATCGTTCCCCATTTAAATGTGATGCACTGTTTTTTTCCTAATATTTTTATTGGCTAAATCTTGTGCTGCAGGTGGAAAAAGAGAAGACAGCAAGCCATCGACGAGAGATGCCTATTCCGTCGCCCATCACTTACGTATATTACGAGTACAGACAACGTCACGGGAGAATTTGAAAGAATGCTCCTCGTTGCCTGGCAATCGTCGAGTCACACAGATCGATCTCGATTCATCCCAGCCCCGCTTACGGCGAGATCGAGAGTCCGAAATGGGTAACTATTGCTGCTGTTGCCCACGATCAGAAGAGGATTCGGATCGAGGCGATGCCTCCCGTGAGTCCATCCTACATTGTCAGTAGTCGGGCGCCTCCACCTCATCCAAATAAAATTGTGATGTGTCTTTTCTTTTGGAGTTGCATTGCTTTTCGATCCAAAATGTATTCTCATGGCCCGTCCATGAGCCGAATGAAATGTTTTCGTCTAGATATGGAAGCAGGGTCGTCAGCTGTCGACGGGGAAAACCCTGCATGGCCCACATCCAAAGGCCACTCCCTCAAGAAGAGGTTCCTGCCGAGCATTTTTAAGAAGAAACCCGCCTCATTGGAAAGAGAGAGGATAGGGCTCATCTCCGAGCAGCTGCTCCCATTCGAGCATGGAGAGATAGTCCATGCTACAACCTCTCCCCCCCGCACCGATTCCGCCGATCTTCCTGGTTCCTCCCGAGATGCACGTCGGGCAGAAGGAGATCGGGCCGAGTCAGATGCCTCCCCCCCGTTTTCTGCCTCTTTCGACCACGAAGCAGCCGCATGTCCAGAAGAGAGCGTCTTCACACCGTCCATCTCCTTGTCCGACGACAAGCGTTTTTATTCCTGGCAGAGGCACCTGGCTTTGCCCATGAAACCCAGTGTGTTTTCCACTTCATCCATCCTACTCATCGAATCGGGTGGGATCGTCGAAGGAACCATAACGATTCGGTCTCGATAGGTGGGCGTCTCCCGGTCGTGGGTGTGGGTGAGATGAGGTTCACATCCAGGCCTGGTGTGCTTGCGTTCGGGGTGAGATTGCTTGACCCCCCGCTACCATCGAGTCGTGTCATGTAGGTGATTCATCGACTCAGGATGTTCACTCTTGTGATTCCAAGTTCGATGGTTTCTCTAACTCACGGAATGCCTTGAAGGGAGTTGGAGGAATATATGGTGAATCTCAGTCTCCTTCCCCCTCGTGTGGAGGTCTCCTGCAAATCATCGGCGATGCTCGTGTCCATCTTCTTGCCTCGTGAGTCTCTTTCGTGATTCACGCTAGAAGGGAGTTTGAGGAATATATGGTGAATCTCAGTCTCCTTCCCCCTCGTGTGGAGGTCTCCTGCAAATCATCGGCGATGCTCGTGTCCATCTTCTTGCCTCGTGAGTCTCTTTCGTGATTCACGCTGGTCTTCCCTGATTCATCATTGTTCATTGACGAAAACATCCTCTTCCGTTGCCGTTGATGGCAACTTAGAATTTCAGAACGTCATATTCTGGAGAATTTCACAACTGAATGAGTTTTTTGTTTCTTACCTTGTCTCCAGAACGCTCCTGGTTTCTGCCGCCCGAGCTGGCCGTCGCTGCGTTCTTCGAGGACGACTGCATGATGCTGAATATGCAACACCGTGTCCTATCTGGAACGGAGGAGACCAAGAAAATCTGTCGCCGCTACCATCATCCAATGTTGCCTATCAAAGTCACCGTGCTGGAAAGTCGTGGCCGCACTGCGATTGCGATGTCGGTGGATTACGATGCTGTAGATGATCTCTTCCCGAGTCTCAGCCGCTACCTTGGTTCGGGGACGACAGGAAAAAGAAGAAATGAGGAAGGAGGATGCCTCATTCAAGAGCTCATCTGATGTGGAAGATGGTTTCCTGGCATGAATGATTTTTTATATGCGGAATCTGAATGAATGAGCCTTTTCTATCCAGACACCAGCACGATGTGTGAAATAATTAAATATTATCATTACTAGTTTCGTTCTGAATACGTTCCTCAGACACAAATGATCGTATTTGAATTCGACACGTTTCTCTAGAGGTTCCTGTGAGACAGAACTCACGGAAAGTCGTAATCGAGCGAAGTGAAGGACGTTGGTTGAACGCGTCCAAAATTGTTTCATGGAAATACGGTCCTTCAAAATGTCAGTGTTATGTCTCATTTGAATGCTTTGTGCATGAAATCTATTAGCTTCAACTTCGAAGATGTGAACGTTTCACGGGTGACAAATATTTAATTTATAAAATTTCCTGGAAGTTTTACTCCGTGACTGCCTCCTTATCCTCTGATGATGGAACGCACCCCCACCTTTCCATCCAAACCTTCATATTTTCCCCCTTTTAAATTTATTTTCCTTGCGCTGAAAACAGGAAGTTTTCGTAAAGAAGCGAATTCCCTGCTACATGCTCCTTCCCCTTGTCTCTCCTTCCCCGTTGCTCTCCTGCCCCCTGGCTCTCCTTCCCCATATCTCTCCTCCCCCTTGTCTCTCCTTCCCTCTGGCTTTCGCGCATGGCCCTGCCAAGCACTCGCCTTCTCGTTCCCCGACTCTTCGCCTCCACCTGTGATTGAGAGAGGGACGCCCTCTCTTCTTCCTTTCGTCTCTTCGAAATTCCGTCTCCGATGTGAATGCGTTCTCATTTTCCTCTTGTTGCATTCTCGCTGGTTGCATATACATTCAATTATCAGAGGGTGTGTAAGAAAAATAGAGTCTGCCTCAGAGAAATATTTCCGCAATACTTTACCCTTTACTGTATGATATATAAACGAATTGGAATTCATTTCTAAGAATTGGAATTTAAAAGTCAGCCGCACGAAAAAACAGGTTGACTTACATGAACAATCGGAGATTCGCCTCTGCCTCATCATCTCCAGTTTTGACGCGGAGACAAGAACGCTGGACTCGAGCGGGGACTTCGCCCACCTCAGTGCTTCGAGCCTTCTGCAATGAACTGGACTTCAAGTGTCCATGATTTTATTCGGGGTGATTCGTGTGTTACCGGCTCGGCAAAAAAAAAAACCAGCACTGCAGTATCCTCATGTAGTTTCTACCGCTGAAAATCCAGAATTGCAGAATGACTTGATCTTTCGTCACTGATTGCATCACCTTCCCCCTCTTGAAAATGCTGACGGATAACACGAGTAAGCCAACGAGTGCAAGAGCGCTCCGGGCTTCTCTCTCGTCCGATAGGATGGATTAGGAGGTGTTCATCTTAATTCAAATCCTTAAAAGAAGAGACTCCGGAGAGGAGCTTGCAGCGAAAATCGTTCATTGCCCCAAAGGGGGCGTTTCCCCCACAAGATGAAGCAGACGACGGAGATCGACATGCGTCTCGACCGACGATGCAAAATCGCTCACATCCCCGATCTCGACTCGGCCATCGACGCTCATCGTCTTCGCACATGGCCTCCAGCCGAGGGGTGGATACAGAAATTTTTCATAGGGGAAGCGGTTCCCGAGTTCCTACCTCCCCATGCCCCCTTCCGACCACCATGCCTTGTCATTTTGCCTCTTTAATTTTCGTCTGGGGTAAGAACTTGAGTATCTATTCCACTGGCTCTAATTAAATTTATTGCAGACGCTATTTTGAATAAATAAATCAAATGCTAACTTGGCCGTAGAGAGGGCGGTCACTCCCCCCCCCCAATATGCACCACTGCTTTAGGCCACCGGTCTCGGTCAGGAAGCGACTGAAACGAATCGGAATTCTTTGTTGATGCCGTTTCCTTTCGAATCGGGCTGCCAAGCAGCCCGCTCGGGACTCTAAGCCCAAGAACATCTGGCTTGTGGTGACCTATTGCTCGATCCGCGGGTAGGGACGATCCATTCGAGCCGATCCGCATCCGGTGCAGAATACACAATTACCCCCTTTTTTTCATTCAATACCACGGACGTTCGAAACTCCGGCGACGAGTCGTAGTTGAATGTGATGGGGTGGAAGTCGTTTAACGTTTGTATTAAAAAAAAAAAATGGGTTCCCTGATGACGAAGCGCCTCACCTATTGCTGATCCAAAGCATTCATGTTTGAAATTCGAAACGCGTCCCTCCAGGATCCTACGCGGTGGAATTCACAGAAAATTGCAATGAAAGTGGGTGGGGCGGGAGCAAATTCGGTCGGGTGCCATATACCATTTACTAGGGAGGAACGAACTGTTTTGCTCTTTTCAACAATCTCAAAAAGAAAGGGAAGGGAAGTCCAACTATTCCTTGTAACATTCCGTCGTTCCTTTCCCTGTCCTGTTCCTTTCGTTTCACAGCATATGGCAAGGCGGGAGTTCCGCGGGGGGCGCCGTTGTTGCACCGGTCTTTCCATTCTCTACGTAAACGAAATTTCTAGTTCTACCACTCGTGAGCTTAGTGTTCGTACCAGTCAACATGCGGACGATACCGCCTACTGGCTCTCAGGCTGAGAAGTCACTGTTCTCGAGTCGCGGGCCCAGGTTGCGCTCAACGCTTTTTCAAAGTACTTTCGCAATTGCCGCATTAGCATGAATCCCTCCAAATCCTCTCGTTCACCCCCGACAGAAAACCCCATCGTGTTAACAGGATGTGCTCATCCTGCGCTCGCGCTTCATCCGATTTCTTGGTGTTAATCTTGATAGTCTCCTCAGATGGAATAATCATGTTTAAGCAATCCGCTCTAAAACATCCAGTAAACTTAACCGCTTAAAGACTCCGGCCGGGATTAACAAATGGGAACCTGAAATTATATTTCAGGTATTTTTGAAATTATACGTAACGTACCTCCGCCCGGTCCTAACGCACGCATTCGCTGTTTGGGCCAGCAGCCGAGAGGCAGTCCTCAACAAAATAGAAATCATCGAACGAGTTGCAATCAGGAATGCCTTCCGCCTCCCAAAATATTTTTCTAATTCCTATATAAATAGAATCAGTGGACTCACTCCACTCTTGCAGGTCGCAACTAGCATTCAATTACTATAATGACCATAAAAGCCATGGGATATCTTAAAAGTTCCGAAAAAAAAAATTGGGCGCTTCAAGCACTCCAAAACCTATCCTTTAATAAAATTATGCAACGCCTTGGAATTATTGACACCTCCTCCACTTGAATCCTCGACAACCCTGGTCTCATCGATCCCGTGACGGCAGTGCTTTTTTCCTGCCGCGCCTGATCGTTAAAAACCAGTTCTGACTGGTCCACTACGTTTCTCTCTCAAAATCCCTTCCCTTACCTCTCTCGCTCTTCCATCTCTGCTCACCTTCCCCTCTCTCTCCCTCTCTCTCTCATTGAAAAAAAAAACAGATCTCTTGTCAATCTCACCTTTGTGGCCTAACCCTTCCTCTCCATTTCGCATGAAGCCTTTGAAGTAAAGCAGCGCCGATCTCACATAACCCTCTGCCTGACCTTTTATCGCCAGGGTGTCTGATAAAGCCTGTAAACATATTTTATTCTCATGGGGCTGCTATCCCTTAACTTATTTTCGGTAGGATATAAATTTTAATTTGAAATTATTGAGAACGGTAAATACACTGAGTTGATTCGCGTAACTGCTAGGGAAAAAACTCTCATCCCCTTCCTCAACAGGTGGGCCTGTTAACTCGCACCAACTCACTAACCTATTAAAACGTGTTGGTTCTTAGTACTAGGTCTGATCAAAAAGTTCCAGTACTTTTATTCGTAAACTTTATTTTTCATAAGTACATTATAATTAATTGTTTTCCCCTTCAAAGTATTCCCCCCTCTGCTATGCACATATCCCAACAACTCCTGCAACTTCTGGAAGCAGTGCTGGAAGTCCTGGAGTGAAAGGCTGCCTCGTCGCATTTTCATTGATGCTTGCAATGTCTTCAAATCTCTTTCCTTTCACGTGAAATTTAATCTTGGTGATCAGGAAAATGTCACACGGAGCTAGGTCCGGGTAATAAGGAGGGTGGGACAATACAGGAATTTTTTTTAGCCAAAAACTTTCGAATTGTGAGAGCAGTGTGGGCTGGAGAATTGTCGTGATGCAAAACCAGGCTTCATTTTGGAAAAGTTGGGGCCGTTTTTTTATAATTTTTTCTCGCAGACGGGTCAAAATATCTTTGCAGTAAGCCTGGTTAACTGTCTGGCCTTGTGGGACAAACTCATGATGCATGATCGAAAATTCGACGAAGAACACAGAGACGACCGGATTGCAACGCTCGTGATTCGCGACTGGTTAATCCTAGCGCAGAGGAGGTTTCAACAGGGTGCTGTTACCCCCCCCCCCCCCAACCTACACATGTCCTAGCCCCCTGGCTAAAGCGGTTTATTTTTTAACGAGAAAGTATTGGAACCTTTTGATCAGACCTCGTATGCGGCCGCTCTCTGTCTTCAAGAATGCATAAATGTTACAGCTGAAACTTGAAAACGGGCGAGATCCAAGTGCGCAGATGGATCTGGTTTCTAGATACGTCGTCTCACCTTAGTCAATATATCCTAGGAGAAAAAGAAAACAGAATTTTTCTCCGAAAACGACACAAAACACGAGGGGGAGGTTGCTCGACTGTCACCTGCATCAATTAGTAAAAGCATTGTCGTGTTCCTCCGAGCGTTGAGTGACGGCCGGCCTTGGATCCTTCGCTGAGGAATGGACTCGCGACCTTCGAGCATGGAAATCCTTGATCGTCTCACGCCCAACCCACGAGTGTAGGAAAAATATGGAACCGTTCTTGGTCTTTAGCGCACATAGTTTGTGTCATGAAGAACTTCTGTCGAAGGGGCAGTGTCATGAAGCTGTGTTTCTTCGATCTAGTTCAAGATCTTTGTGTAAGGGATAAAACCGGTTCCTGTACAGCTAAGAAGGATTTGCTAAGCCCTTTCCTGAATGGTTCATGAACCGAATTCAAGACGTAAGTAAAGAATTCCTGTCTCGAC